AAGTATCATATATTTAACATCCATTACCAAAGTATCATATATTTAACATCCATTACCAAAGTATCATATATTTAACATTCATTACCAAAGTATCATATATTTAACATGCATGACCAAAGTATCATATATTTAACATCCATGACCAAAGTATCGTATATTTAACATCCATGACCAAAGTATCATATATTTAACATCCATGACCAAAGTATCATATATTTAACATCCATGACCAAAGTATCATATATTTAACATCCATTACCAAAGTATCATATATTTAACATCCATTACCAAAGTATCATATATTTAACATTCATTACCAAAGTATCATATATTTAACATGCATGACCAAAGTATCATATATTTAACATCCATGACCAAAGTATCATATATTTCACATCCATTACCAAAGTATCATATATTTAACATCCATGACCAAAGTATCATATATTTAACATCCATGACCAAAGTATCATATATTTAACATCCATGATCAAAGTATTATTATATACTCAAGATCCCCAGCGATGTGGGCATAATATCTCTACAAAGTGAATTGCAGACCTATTAAATATGTTTTACCATTGCAAAGACTTTACTTTCAACAACAAGAACTACATTCAGACATGGTGTTGCCAATGGATACCAAAACTGACCTATTAGATGCCAATCTATTTATGAGCAGATAAGGGAGAAGCTCCGAAATACCCAGGAACCCACCAAATTTGTTGGGAATGTTTCATCCACTTACGGACTTACAAGCACAACCTCACATTTTTAAATTATCTAAACTCCAAGCATCAATCAAATTGGTCCAGAAAAAGTACATTTTATTTACACTATGAACTATACATCAGGGAAGGCATGTTGCAAACTGACCTATATTACAAAGCTTGCACAACTTCTTACTTTACAACTCTTGTAACTCCAAGAAATCCATTTGATGTGGTGGAACACTGTTGGGTGCATTTGTAGTGAAAATTTTAATTTCCCTCTACCACAGATACTGTACTTTACTTAAAAATTCAAGCGTGATACCAATAATATTTACAGTGGGAATGGATAGATGCATATCATTTAATTCGCAATTTGATTCCAAATGGCTGACAAAATGACATTGACTGGTGATACTATTTTTCACCTTGATATTAGCACTGTGTCCTGTGTCCCTAAATTTGGTAAAACTAATATTTTCTTTTACTTTTTGAAAACTATAAACTAGATTGGTTTCATATTTATCAAGTAATTTCTAGCTGTAGTTCATACATGGTGTATATACATCAGTTACCATTTTATAGGTATATACTAGAATTGTGTTCATACATGGTGTATAGGCATTAGGAACCATTATATAGGTATATACTAGAATTGTGTTCATACATGGTATATACACATCAGTAACCATTATATAGGTACATGTATATACTAGAATTGTGTTCATACATGGTGTATACACATTAGTAACCATTATATAGGTATATACTAGAATTGTGTTCATACATGGTGTATACACATCAGTTACCATTATATAGGTATATACTAGAATTGTGTTCATACATGGTGTACACAC